TCTCTATTAAGTAAAAGTTTCGTTTTATCGACTATTAAAATCTGGGAACTAGCAGTTTACGACTTTATTGCGTCATTCGTGATCGAAAATTAACTGGAATTTTTTTATATGAAATCACGATCTGGGAGTCAACTGTTGTTTTGACACTTTTCACGAAGAATAAAATTAACACAAAAATCGAATTTAAAATTCTAATTTCCGAGAAATAACTGCTGATGGTTGCAGAGTAACACATGTCAGACCAATTATCATAAAAAATTTGTTTAAATAATTTACCACTTTTTTATTAATTCGAACGGTGTTTAGGCCAGCGGTGAGATTTTTATCGCCTTATTTATTCTAAACTCACACAAAACTAATTCGTTTCCAAGAAATGAACATAAATTTCAGGCTTTCAGCAACTTCAACTTCAAAAATTTCTATTATAGATTGTAGTGTCTTGATTTAAACGGTAAATTTAAATATACAGGGTGCGCCAGAACTCGCGCCCCAGAGAAAAATGTCATATAAAGGAAGATACCAGGAACATGGAAAAAATGTTAAAAAAAAATTATCTATAAAAATTTCGAAGTTATGAGAATTTAAGTTTTGCACTTTGACTATTTATTTCTGTTGGAAAAATAACTTTCCAAGTTTTTTTGCTATAGGCTATTAAAAGGGGAAACAAGGAAGTTGTATCCTAAATTGTAACTCTTTTCAATGTTATTTGTGGCTTTCATTACCAAAACTTTTGTACCTTTACTAAATAATTGTAAAAAAACATATACAAGATCATCAGTATCATTAAATAGACATAAAAAAATGTCAACTGTCAAAAAATAAATGTCAAATTTTTTTGGCAGATAGAATTTTTTAAACTTTTTTTCCATGTTTATGGTATCTTATCTTACTTGAAGTTTTTCTCTGGGGCGCGAGTTCTGGCGCACCCTGTTAGAATTGTTACGATTTTAAAGTAACAAAAAAACTAATGAAAAAAAAATTCCACAAGGTTACAATTTTTTAAATTATTTATTAAGATTTAAAATAAGAAGTAATTTCAGAAAAAACTAGTTTTTTCAGGAAAACCAATTTTTTGGATTAAAATATAAAAATATTATTTTATTCCAAAAAATCATAATTTTATTTTTATTTAATTTTGAAATTATTTTTACAATGAAAATGTAATGTTTTGTTCTATTATTTTCTAAAGGCGTAATTTCTGAAATTATGTAAAAATTTGAAACATTATGCAACCAACATTACATACTGTAAAGACTGTCTGCTAAGTTTAATAATGACATAAAATCCGGAAAAGTATTTATTTCTTTACGGATTATTTTGAATTACATAAGACAAATTCTGAAAAAAAAACACCCAGTATAAAAATCTAGTTCTTTTTCCAAACCACTAATTATTCGGACAAAATAATCAAATAGTGAGTATCAAAAATGACTGTTGAAGTTGGTAATACTGAATTTAATTTTTGACGTACAGTCTGACAATGACATTATCTTTGGAAATTATAAACTTAACTTACAATATCTGCCAATAAAAACCACATCCGGTTGCAATGTTGCAAACAATAGAAAATACCAACCGTTGCCAAATCAAAAAATCATTTTTAATCATCCTGTGGTTACTTCAGTGACTTTGAATTTAAATTGGCAACATTGAAAGATATAGAGACAATTTATATTATTCAATGTTGCCAACATAATTTCAAAGTTATAGGCCACTTTTTGATCAGAAACGTAATTAAACGCATATTTTTTGGAATGGGCTCAAAATGGGTCATTTTTCTGGTTGAAACACCGCACATTTTGCATGTTTGTGTTCCTAATTATGGAATTTCTCCACATGTCCATCAATTCTCACAGCGTTTAGGTCCGTCCGATCGACAAAGTAAAACGAACGCACGTCCCGTTTCCGAGAGCGATTTTATGCTGTCAAACCGTGTCATGATTAATCGTGTATTTAAGAAATTTTTAACCGGCTTTTTTACATTTTTCCGTGTAAGTTTTTTTTAAAGATGATAAATGAATTAGGAATAGTTGTGACGACCAAGTTGGTAGCCATGTATTGTACGTATTATATCAAGGGACAAAGAAAGGGTCGCGCAGCGGGAGTTTAAGGGGTTTTAGGAGGAAACTGAATTAGTTACGGAAAAATATCGGGAGGGAAGGGCACGATCATAAATCTCGCTATCGACTTTTGCCTAATTTCGAAGGGTCTCAACCCTTTCAACTGTCGAATTTTAAAACAAGAAGGCAAACTTTGGTCTTTTAAGTCAATATTTAAATAAGTTATTAAAGCGATGCGACAAAAGTAAAAGAGTCAAAGAGAAACTTAGTTCCAGATTAAAATTCAGGAAATTTTTATTTTGATAATTAGACACACAAAACAAGAAGAAAGTAATGTACACGAGTGGGTCATACGAATTTTAAATTAATTAGCATCTGTCAAGTCAAGTAATTGACATTGAGGGTTTAATATTCAAAGAGAGTGCTAAAAGTTTATTTGAATTTAATTTTTTACTCGTCGTAAATAGCTTTTGTTTTTCTTATTTGAAAATGTGACAACCAATTAATAAACCCGTATGAATTGAACAGCATTCAGATGGATGTCCCAGATAACAAAAATTTAAATATAATATACAGTGTGGTGGAATTTACTATCGCTGCCATCCAACAAATGACACCAGATTGTGTAACCAGCTTCTATTTCTAATACAGAGTGAACCAAAAGTAGCTCACAAAATACATAATTTTATGGGTAATTTTTTTAAATCTACGAAAATGATATATTTTCATTATATTATTATTTATAATAACGTCAATGATTTTTAAGTAACGACGTTATCAGTATTTTTTAAATAGGAACCAATTTTTTTTTACTGTTTTTGGTAACATTTTCTTTTAAAAAGATAGAAATTACCAAAAACAGTCAACAAAATTGTTGGTTGCCATTTAAAAAAATTAATAATGACGTCATTACTCAAAATCCAATGACGTCATAAATGTTACAATAGTGGCAACATGTAGCAATCGACCTGTTTGAAGATATAATTTTTTTAAACATAACAAAAATTAAAATTTGGTTCGTAGCTTTTGGTGCATCCTGTATATTAATAAAACTATTCATTATAATGTCATTAAAGGCCCACGTCACTAGTGAAGATGTCATAATGCTTATAAAAAACTAACTATACTTTTATTATTTATTGGTCATTGTAAGACTTTTCTCACATGAATATCGATTATATTGAAATGTAGTTGTAGAAAAAATTTAATTTGTTGTAAGAATTTTTAATTTAAATTTAGCAACATTGGCAAAAGATAACAAAAAATCTGTTAGCAACACTGAATTATTCGCTAATTCCAGTAACCGGCCCTCAAAATAAATGACAATTAATTATAAAATTGTGACGTTTGAATGTGATAATCAATATTGCCAACTAAAATTTCAAATTTGTGGCCAGACAACCTTAGAATTTTTAATTATGTCGTATTATTGGAAAAAAAATATTGTAGCCTCGGCTACGCCTCAGCTCAAATAAATTATTTTTTCAACATAAATAAATAGAGACAAAGTGCAAACTTTAAACCCTCATAACATCGAAATTTTTATAGATATTTTTTTTTAACATTTTTTCCATGTTTCTGGAATCTTACCTTATATGGCATTTATCTCTGGGGCGCGAGTTCTGGCGCGCCCTGTACTTATTCTTTTATTTTTTATTTATTCTCTAAAAAATCATTTTCTGACTTTTTTTTCTCAGGTCAGGTCAGGTAAAAAAAAACACAGTTTAAAAAAACTTTGTATATATATAATTTTAAATTCACTAATATGACTAAATTAAAAAAAATAATAATTCTAATTTTACAATTAAAAAAATCTCTTAATAAACACCAAATAAATTTTACAAATTTTCTTGCAAAAGATAAAAACCTGAAAATAAACAATTTAGCAACTTTCCAATATCTGTTTAGTGATTATTTATCATTTTTTATGAAAAAAAAAAAACTAAATGATTTTTAATGCCTACTCAAAAAAAATCAAAGAACGGGAATAAAAAACAAAGTTTCTTTTTACAAGAATTCTAATTGTAATCATGTATTTTATAAAAAATAATGTTTGAATTTAAATCAGTGTTGTCAAATTAAAACAATAATTTAGTTACGGGTAACTTTTGTTTTTATCTTGCATTATGCAATGCCGCCAACTTAATTTCAAATTCATAGGCCACATAATTTAGTTCAATCGGTTATGACATGTATGCAACCCACTATACATCACCGCTCTCCATATTGCCTACCCTGTTCGCCAAAGCCCGGAATTTACGTAAATTCGACGTAATATAACAAGCATGTTCGATCTTTATATGTTGTTTTTCCGGTCGCTCTTTTCGCCACCACTTCCGTCCTACTCTCTGTGTAATCGCTCGTGAAATCTATAAAAAGGTCGGCCGCTTTTGCTGTGTTGACCGTCTAGTTCGGCGTAAAATTCGGAAATGCTTGAATTGAGACGAGAGGATGCTTATTGAAATTCATAATGCATAATAAAATCGTCGGTGTTTTGTGCTGCCTGTTGCGGATTTTACAGCTTTTTGTTTGTAAATAATGGACGGATTAGGAGGGTTTCACGGACGATTTGACGGAAAAAACACAGCAAATGAAACGAAATTATGCATTAGGCTTATTTTTCACTGTGAAATATTGTTAATTCCAGATTCAATTAAAAAAATGTAGATACGTTAAAACTTCGGAAAAGCACTCTTAATTAATTAGATGTTTATCCCTATGGAAAAATATTTTCATTTGAAAATGGGGGAAAGCCAGACTGGAAAATCCCACAATAATAATTAAAACATCAAAAGCAGTATTTTAGAACAGTCCTGAGAGGCAATCAGACGATTGTCCTTTTTTTCGTCGGTCGTTTATATTCGTCGCTTTTCGTCCAATTTCGATTTTCCCAGGGCTTCTGGATATTGCAAACGCTTTTCGTATGTGTACAGTGCGAGAAGAACGTCAAGTGGAAAACGATGGAAAGCTCGTCGCATATGTAATCAAAGTAGGCTATGTACGAGCTTTTTCCATCTATTCAAGACCGTGCGAGTCATGTGAAAAAATAATGAAGTGAATCGGCGACAGACACTAATCAAATCACGTGATTAAAAGGAATTGAATTATATTTAACAAAAAAAAAATATTTAAAAATTATACAATTTTGTATCGCCATCGATGGACAGACTTATTCTTCATAAAAATTTAAAACATGTTTGAGAGGTAAGTTGTGTTAATCCTGATATTGCCAACAATAAAAATGCAAATTCTGACGAATACCTGAAACGAATAAATTTCTTACTTATCAAAATTTTGACGTTTGGCAATTTCAGATTCGTTATCGCTTATTTATTGGTATCTGTTGCATTTATTTTCACTTGTGATTCAGTCACAAACACTTCGAAATGGAATAATAAAGTGTAAAAGTTTGAAATAATAATTCATGTAAAGGCTTGTTTGCGATGTTATAGAAAAATAGATACTTCATTGTTGCGAGTTGTGATAATAGACGAAGTCGGATCGTTACGAGTTGGAGTTGTTTTGGTTTATTAAGTTTTATGAATTGTGACTGCGCCATCAGCCCCGTTGTTTATTTGCTACTGGAGGTTTTATTGTTTTTGACAAAATTTTAACCGAGTTGAATACAACACGAAAAAACTTTTAACAGCATTGATTGGGTTCACTCCAGAAATAACTTTTTAAATTTTACATGAATGCTAGTTTGACATTTTCCCATTTGTTATTTTTGGATTTCAATTGAAAAATCTTTCGAATTAAACAATGCCCACCAATATTGAGAAAAAGATAACAGATGCCGGGTTTGGTTTTTATTTCAAGTAAAAACCGCCGGATACTTTTATTAGATTTTTTCTTCAGCAAATCGAGAATATTGCCTGAAACTGGTGTTTCATGAATCTGTCGATAACACTGAAACTATCGGGAAAACCACAATAAAATACTAGCAAATATAATTATAACAAAATCTAGAAAAAAGGTGATCAGAAATTGCTTCCAGAGGAACGCTAAGAATCTATGCTTCGGAAGCAACGGATCACCTCTGATCTAGTTACCTCAGAATGTCTTATATATGCTTATCATTGGCCAGCTATTGTAGTAGTGAGTAATAAAACTAATTAAATTTCACTTTGCTACTAAAACCACAAAATTATTCTTTAAAGAAGAGTTTTCTACAATCATTTTTTTGCTATAAAAACGGTCGTCCGAAGGAATTAGATAACATTGAAGGAATTTAAATTATACAGGATGGTCGGTCAATCTTATTCACTTGAAGTTTTCTATAGGTACAAGGTCTTTTTTTAGATATCTAACTATATGTCTAGTTACTTTTAAAATAAAAAATGTCAATGATTTATTACAAATATTTATAAAAAAGTAAATGAAATTGAAATATTGAAACAAGACCATAAAAAACAAAAACTTCAACAGAGATAAAAATAAAGACGAGAAATAAGAAAAACGCACCAAACGTAACAAAAAATATTGAACCATCATGTGTTCAAATAAAAAGTAGTAAAAAATGAATGTGTTTTCTTGTTTCGTATTAGCTAATCTAAATTTTATTTATTTATTGTGATTTGACGAGTGACATTTTATCAAAATTTTTGTGTCGTTGCGTTCAGTTGTGGTTTAATTCTTCCTTGAGTTTTTAGCTAGCAAAAATTATTTTTTTAGTTTTAAAAAATCACGTATAGCCTTAGAGATTTTTAGAAAAACCTATTTTTTTGTAAAGTACCTATTATGTTGCAACGACGACAAAAAGAACAGTTGTCTAGAATCAACATCAATAGCCCCTATACCAAATTTCAAAATTATCGGGCAACTAAAATTTTTCATATTTATCCAAGATTTTTAGTAACAGAAGTTATTTAAAAAAGTTGATTGAAGTCAAAATCTTAGGTCCGTATAATTTTAAAAACCTCGGCCAACTTTGATCTCTCACATTCTCTTTTGTATTTATTTCCTAAATTGAAGAATTTTATTTGTTACAAATATTAAACTGTGAACGACTTGAAACTTAAACTGAAACTGTTCTTTTTTTTTAATTTGGCGTCAAAGTTATTCATTAAAGTTTGATTGTGAACGAACCATCGTATTCAAAGTTATTAATATGACATTTAACACCGCGTCGGCGCCGTGAGTATTAAAAATTGTTGTTCGTTCACAACACACTCATATCACTAAGAAAAAACAGGTCATACGTATAGTTTAAAACATTAACCATTGTCAGTACACTTATTTCTATAATTTTTAATATATACATTTCATGCTATTTTTACTTTATATTTCATTTTACTTACCTTTTGTTTACTTATATCTATTTCAATAGTACACTTATGGACATGTTTTAAAGTTTTTTTACATTTATTTGAATTATTGGTATGTAATAATAATTAATAAAGAATTTTTTTATTCCTTTATTTTTATTACAAAACTTACCTTTTCTTTATGATTCTTTTAACTTACCTTTTGTTTACTTATACACTACTAACTTATTGCACTTTTGTGGACACTTGTTTTAAAGTTCGCACTCTTATACGTTCACCATCTTTTCGTGCTTATTGTAGTTTGTGTTAAGCACGTTCAATTTTGAAGTTTTTAATTTTTTCGATTTTTGTCGAAATTTTGTGCGATTTTCAGTACCCGGAACGGTTTATTGCTAATAACTTCGGAATTATTAACGCTAGTCCTTTTTGTTTGGTACCGCAAATTTAATTTTTTATGATAAAAAAATAACTGTTCTACGTTAAATAGTTAACGAGAAAATTGCTGATAAAATCAAAAATATCCAAAATATTAATTCAACTATAACTTCTAAACGATCAAGAATTTTGCAGTTTTCTCAAGGCCAATCGATTTCGCGGGACATTTTACATGTCTCTGCATAAAAATATTATAACGTTTGAGGTACAGTTTTGCCGCAATTTACAAAATAAAAAAAGAAAATTTCTAAGTTATGTCAATTTCGAAAATAATTGTATACAAAATTCAAATACAATACAATTTTAGTTTTATTACCACTACAAAATAATTTTGCTTGATTTTAACCCCYCCCCCCCCCCCTCGCTTCGCCACTGATACGGAACCAATTTAGCACGGCGATAAAGAAGGCATAGTCTAATAAAAATAAAATAAACCTGGAGGATCTGCTATAATAAAATCAAATCAACTTTTGTTGGATAATTAAAAATAAAACCGTCGAAAGTTTCGTTATAGATAAAAGACACATTCTGCGGTTGGCATTCTGGATGTTACCCATTTAATTTCTCGTCACTTTCATCCGTTTCAAAGGACAAAAGGATGACACCGACACAAAACCGCTAATTTCCTTTTGAAACATCAGTACCTAGCTACTATTCCACCCCTTTGATGGAATTTTAAAATCGAATTGAAATTATTTTTTGTGTTTTTTCCGTTGGCATAACAGAAAATTTATTTAAACAGCAAACAAGCACGCCTCGTAAAAGGGTGTAAAATATGGCCGTTCGGGATTAATCCACGAATCCTGGAGGAATTGAGGTTCGTGAGCAAGACTCGAGATGAATGCATTATCAATGTTGAACAATACTCCCAGTTTTTTTTTTTTGGCTTAATCTTTGGTTTATGGTTCTTGTTTCGGGGAAAATAAAGAGAACGTTTAAAACGGACGAGAAGAATATTTTATTACGTGAAATTTGCTACTTGACTGCTTTAATTAATTGTTTCTTGTATTCGTGTCGGACAAATTACACCAAAAAGATGAAACGGGGTGTTACACGAGATGAAAAGCTTTATTCTCGCAAAGAAAAATGATGGAAAAATCGACTCAAACTTTTCGGGGGGAATTAACTGATAAGTTTGGGAGTCAAAGCGAAAGTTTCTATTGCCTATTGCCAACTATCCAAAACTTAACTAAAACAAATTTTGCAAGTTTAGATCAAAGATGAGAAAAATAATGATATACGATGATAACAAATATGTAATATTTGCTCAAAATTGTTGTCATAATTAAACAATTATATACAATTACAACCATATCGCCGTTTTTATGAAATTTTTATGTAAATACTCGTAAGATTACACTGAAAGACGAAAACAACAAACGTTAAAGATAAAAAAAAAATATGTTTCTTTCTTAGTTTTTTAACACTTTCTCGAAACAATTTTTATGCATTACATACTTGTTTTCTGTGTCTTACAAATACATGGACTTCTTTCTCTTTGTATTTTCTGGTTTTTTAGTTATGTGTTTTGATTTTTTGTTTTTTCTTTTTTCGATTTTTCTTATTTTTTTAATTTATTCCTTTCTACGTTTTATACCTTTAAACAAAATAGTTACGTTTATATGTTAAAAATCTGGTAAAACACTCGGAGAAGGTTTTTTTCCCTATTTAGTGAATTTTCGTAAAAAATTAAAACTACTTTTGAAAAAAATTTGCAAAATATTTGAATTTCTGGCTGTAAAACATACAATAGCGCTCTGAAAAATAAAGGCGAAAAATAATAAATGTTCGGTCTGTTGTAGTGTATAATGTCACAAAAAATCTGAGAATAAAGTTCAAAAACGTGTTAAAGACTTGAAAAAGTTAAAATAGCACCATTTTAGACGAAACATTGTGCTTTTTGGGTAACTTTTGACGAAATTTTGATTTAGTTTTGTGATTTTTAGGCGTGTTTTGACAAGATTCTGCAAAATAAGTGAGTCTTTGTATTTAAAAACATATTAAATTGAGTGAGAAAAATTTGTTTTTATCTCAAAAACCTTGAAATGGACAAACATAAGTTTGGCTTGTTTTCTAAAAAAAAATTGTGATATAACCACGTTTATATCTGAAAAATATGCTAAAACACTCATAGGAAGCAAAAAATTGTCATTTTCGACTAAATTTAACAGATTTTTTCTTGTAAAAAAATAAAAATGTTTTTAAGAAAATGTGGCGAAATATTTGATTTTCTAACTGAAAAACATACAAAGGCGTTCCAAAAAATGACAGCAAAAAACATTGAAATTTGTGACTTTTTCGAATTTTAGGTCTGTTTTAGTGTAATTTCACAAAAAACTAAGAATAAAGTTCAAAAACGTGTTAAAGCCTTAAAAAAGTTAAAATAGCATCATTTTAAATGAAACATTGTGTTTTTTGGGTAACTTTTGATGAAATTTTGATAAAAAATAACATCAACTTTGATTATTCTTGTGATTTTTAAGCGTATTTCGACAAGATCTT